GAGAGAGAGAGAGACAGATAGACAGAAAGAGAGAGAACAGACAGACACAGAGAGAGAAACAGAGAGAGAGACACACATAGAGTCAAAGAGAGAGTGAGACAAAGAGAGATAGAGAGAGAGAGACAGAGAGAGATGAACAAAGAGATACAGATACAGAGAGAGAAATACAGAGAAAGAGAGAGAGAGAGACAGATAGACAGAAAGAGAGAAAACAGAGAGAGAGAGACAGACAGAGAGACAAAGAGAGAGTGAGACAAAGAGAGATAGAGAGAGAGACAGGCAGAGAGAGAGACAGAGAGAGACAGACAGACAGACAGACAGAAAGAGAGAGAGAGAGAGACAGAGAGAGAGAGACAGAGAGAGATGAACAAAGAGATACAGATACAGAGAGAGAAATACAGAGAAAGAGAGAGAGAGACAGATAGACAGAAAGAGAGAAAACAGAGAGAGAGACAGACAGAGAGACAAAGAGGGAGAGTGAGACAAAGAGAGATAGAGAGAGAGACAGAGACAGACAGAGAGAGAGTGAGACAAAGAGAGATAGAGAAAGAGAAAGAAGCAGACACAGAGAGACAGACAAAGAGAGAGAGAGAAACAGAGAAGCAGACAGAGAGAGAACGACAGGTAGGAAGAGACAGAGAGAGACAAACAGACACAGAGAGAGACAGACAGAGAGAGAGAGAGAGTGAGAGAAGCAGAGAGAGACAAAAAGATAGACAGAGAGATAGACACAGACAGACAGAGACAGAGAGATAGATAGATAGATAGAGAGAGAGAGAGATGAACAGAGTGCAGTGTGTTGTTGTGTGGATGAGGGTGGAGGAGTGACAGCGTCAGTGGGTGGAGATGTTTCTATTGAAATATGGATTTTACATTAAGACGACAGTTTCACATTTACACTGGAGTTTAACAAAATCAAGACATTTGATTGAATCTGAATTAAGATGAATCGAAATCAAATGGAAATGAAATGGTTGGAATTGGCAAATTGTAAATACAGCTACAGTTATTTAGGAATCTTAATTTAAAATGTTTTATTTTTTTTAAGCCGATACTAATATCTGATATTTGTCCTGCTGTGGCTGATAACCGATATTTGGTGATACCGATGTTTTTATTAACCTTTAAAATCCCTAATGAGGCTCACAAAGTTAAAGTAACAATCAAAAAAATAATTTTGTTTTCTAAAATAATCAAAAATAATACTTCTACTGATAAACTACATAATACTGGGATAAAAAAAAATAAGAGAAAGGGGCAGTGCAGAAAACATCGGTATTGAATATCAGGCCAATGCCGATACTGGAACCAATATATCACTACTGCAAATATGATTTCAAATACACAAAGAACTAAGTTAATATTTCTGTCTGAACTGAATCTTGGTTTTGAAAATATACTGCAAATCTAAACATAACTGCAACATTTACCTATTTTAACAATTTAGGCTTTGTGTATAAATCCCACATTTAATTTTTGAGTAAACTGCATTAATGTCACAGATACAACTGCAACTTTATTTATAACGCACTTTAAAAACAACACAGGCTGGTCAAAGTGCTACAGAACATAAGTAAAAAACAAAAACAAAAAACAATAAAACAACACATGAATAAAAGCTCAATCTATTAAAAACAATCTACGGAAGCCCTGAGCAGCAAGCAAAGAAAAAAAAGAAAAAAGAAAAGGCACGTCATTTGGGCTCCAAGTGCTTTTTTTCGCCCACCATCAGCTCGCAAAAAAAGAAAAAAAAAGAAAAAAAGGGTACAAGTCACACGTCATTTCAGCTCCAAGTGCTTTTTTTCGCCCACCATCAGCTCGCAAAAAAAAAAAAAAAAAAAAAAAAAAAAAAAAAAAAGGGTACAAGTCACACGTCATTTCGGCTCGAAGTGCTTTTTTTCCCGTCATCATCATCTTTTTTTTTCCCTACTGTTGATGTGGCTGATGAAAAAAAAAAAAAAAATCTAAAATCAAGCACTCCAAAGCCTAAGCGTTTCCCAATATATTAGTTTAAATTTGTTTTTTGGGTTGTTTTTTTTTGGGAAATTGCTGGTGAAAAAAAACTAACCCTAAACAACACTACTTAGAAAATGGAGCCCAAATGACAGGGTTTTTTTTTTTTTGCTTGCCGCTCATGGCTTCCGTATCAATCTAATAAAATGTTAACAACTCAAACTGTGTCAAAGGCCAAAGTGAACAAGTGCATTCTTTCAGTTTAGCCTTGAAAATGAATGTTTATGCTCCACTTTATGCTACCGAACTACACTAGCTTTACTATTTATTACACAAACGTTACGAAAATTGAAAACCATGTTACACAGCCCCAGTTTCTCGTCTGAATCACTAATCCGGCGCGCTGGTCCTGTCATCTGGAGTGACTCGGTGGAGGTCAGATTTTCTTGGCCCAGTTTGAGTGGATGTATTAGGGTCAGATACTGTACACTGGAAAAGGACCAGACATCCACAATCTACTCCAACTTTTCACTGAGCTGTCGCATGAAGACGACATGAGTTTACAAGCTGCGTTTATGTTATTTGGGGTCCGTCTCTGCTTGTTTCCATGGAGATGTCATTGCTCTGTCTGGAATGTTCAACAGTATGACATTAAACTTTACTCTGCTTCACATTTATTCAATTACAGGTGGATTTATAGCTGAAAAATACCAAGAAAATCAACATTCTGACTGTGAGCGGCGTCGCCTCTCCACAGATCTGACCTGTAACTTGGTCTGGTTTGGTCTCCATGAAGATAGAAAGGTTTAATGCCATACTGTGAAACATTTCAGTCAAAGAAATAACATCTCCACAGAGTAAAGCATTTGACGGACCGTCCACCAGAAAAGTTCAATTCATCTTTAAAGCTCCTATTACTGTGTCGTGTTTTTGTTGATTAATCCTACATATTTAGTCCGTCCCATTTTCCAGAGCTCAAAACACTTGGTTGCCTCTTGTGATGTCATTGGGTGGTAATCCAGGATTGGGCTAATATAGATTTTTTGATCTGATGCTGCTGTGGTCAGTAACAATATCTAGATTTTTAAATCCATAGCGAGACACGAGGTATTTTCATTTAATTTTGTGATTGTTACTTTAACACAGACATGTCAAATTCAGGCCTGGGGGCCAAATTTGGCCCGCAATATAATTATATTTGGCCCGCGAGATCATCTTAAATCTGTATTAGAGCAGCCCACCGACTACAGATAATATAAAAAAACATTATTTATTTAAAATGTTGTTATTATTTTATATTCTGTTTGTTCTGGATTCAGTGTTTCAGCAAAACTATTATTAAACATTTACTGGAATAAGAATAGATTTAACATTACATATCTTGAAAGAAGAAAACATGCAGATGTTGTTGAAATTTTTTCAATAAATATTTAGTTTGGCCTACGACTTAGTCCGAGTTTTTAATTTTGGGCTCTGTGAATTTGAGTTTGACACCCCTGCTTTAACTTTTCACCTTTTTAAATAAAATGACAAAATAAATTTTACTGGGAAATAAACTAAAGATAAATGTGTTGTTTTTTTTAATTATTTTTTTTATGCAATGTCTTCTCTATTTATTTTTTTTCCTCACATAAAATCAATATCAATGTAAAGTACATAAAAAGAAAAATAAATAGTAATAATAATGATAATATAAAAAAAATTAATGAACCAATAATTTGAATCAACTGAAAAAGAAATATAAATAATACTAATAAAATATATATATAAATAGATAAATAAAGTGCTCATCCATGTTTTTAAAATCCTTTCACCAGGCTCATTCCCTCCAACATGCAGCGACTATTTTGAATCTGTTTAAACTGCATCACTCCACTGTGCACCTGCAGCTGAGCTCCTCGTGTCCCCTGCTGGTTTTTATTTAAGTCCTCAGCTAAACTCAGACTGGGACAAAAAAAAAAAATTGTCCCGCAAAAAAAATTGAGGACCCAAAAAAAGTGAGGAAAATGAGCCACACAGTCGGACGGTCAAACAGCCGTTCTGGACTTAACCAGAATGTACAAATTGCCGATCCGACCCTGCCAAAACTCACCAAACACATTCTGGATATGCATTCTACTCTATATATAATATGTGTGAAAGTCCAGTGACCTGTGTAAAAGTACAATAGGTTTAGCTGATTGTACTAACCCACAGTAATGCTTCAGTACTCTCTAAACAAAGGTGTGATCTACTTTATTTCACCCGTCACTTTTGTCTCTAAACGCTCCTAAACTGTGCTTTTTTGTAGTGGCACTTCTGGTTAAATGGAGATATAATATGAATCTTAAACATAAAAATTACCATATTTTTCGGACTATAAGTCGCTCCAGGGTACAAGTCAAACCAACCAAAAAATGCATAATGAAGAAGAAAAAATCATATATACTATAAGTGGCACTTTTTGGGGGACGTTTCATCTTGGAAGTCAAGTTATAGTAGGCCTAATAACAATAGAATAAAGAACAACTGGCTGAACAGGCGTTAATATGTTAACGTAACGGATTAACAATTATTCAGATTCACTCCAAACTTTCTTTCTGCTGCTCGATTATCGTTTTCTGCTGCATATTTCACTACTTGCAGCAGGACAGAGGCTTTTTCTGCAGGAGACATGCGCAGAAAACTGATACATGAGCCTAGAGCCTATCGCGGCTGTCAGTCTGAGAATTTTAATATGTGTCACATCAGAATATAAGTCGCAGGAAACACCCAAACCGTGAAAAAAGTGCAACTTATCTGAAAAATACGGTAATTTGTTTCATTTGTGTAAAATGTTCACTGTTCATGTGCACCAACAAGTCTCACTGCACTGATTACGTGGAGGATTTAAAACAGCTTTATCGTCCGTAATGAACTTATTTACTGTGAAGATCGGCCCCAGACAAAATAATACAACCCCAACGACGATAGCGGCGCTTACGGCAACTTCTAGAATTAAGGTACTTAACTGTTATATTTCTGTTATATTTGTGTTATATTTGTGTTATATTTGTGTGTGTTCTCACCATGATGACGGAGACTCCGGCCGTGGTGGGGTTGTGCTTTGGCGCTGGGTTAAAGTGAGTCTTCAGTTTACCTGACACCTCCATCTTCATGTTGTTCTCGCCCACAGCGTCCTCCTGCACACGATAAAACACAACACTGCGTTAGTCTTAAGTCGTTCTCACACATGTCACTCAGTCTCAATCACAAACAGCACGTCATTTACCCCAAACACCGTGAGATATGTAAGACTAAGTTCACACTGAAACGAATCCACGTATCACCGCATCGGAAACAATCTGCGTCCAGACTAGGGATGGGCATTCGATGAAATTTTCTTAATCGATCGTCGGAAGAATTAACGATCGATTATCGATTAATCATTAACGTTTTTATATTAAAATGATCATCATTATTATTACTATCTGCACTACTAATCTGCATAAATAAATTCAACTTTACGACATATAAACCGTAACGACTCTAGAGCCACATCAGCCCGTTTGACATTATAATGTGTTTAATTCAGTTTTGTTCAAATCTCACAGAAACGAAACTTAAAACCACATCGCTAATTTGCATAAACTCAGCGAAGATAAAACTGCAGCTCTTGTGTCGCTGATGCGGTCAACTTCTGTCGGATTAAAAGACATGACTCAGGTGAATACAGGTTAGTGTGACCAGATTTGTGTTTGTCAAAACCAGGACACCGTACGGGGGGAGGGGGGTGGGGACTCGTCATCCACATTGCGCGACTCTCACCTGGTAAAGCTTTTTCCCACTGGACACCGAGACATATGTTCCTGCTTTATACACTGTGCACATGGACTCACACTTGTCCCGAACGCAACGGAAAGTGTGGAATTTCTTGTACAAATCATCGTTAAATACGCATTTGTGCTTTGGTACGCTGCAGACTGACCGAATGTTTGCGTCTCGCTCCTTCTGAGTGCAGAGAGCTATATGTACGGACCCACGTTTGGTCACGCTACGCACAGCAACCTACATTCGGTTTGTCGATTAAAATTAACGTAATCGATGAAATTCTTAATGATCAATTATCGATTAATCGATGAATCATGCCCATCCCTAGTCCAGACACGTCGTTTCTGTGTCTGCAAGTCTTCCTTATCCACACAGCTTTGAGCACATTTGTTTATGTTTTACAGAAACAAAACTTAAAACTGCATGACTAATTTGCATAAACTGAACGCTCAAAAAAACACCTCGCTCCTTGTGCGCTGATGCGGTTCAGCTTATGTCGGACTAAAGGACAAGACTCAGTGGAATATGAGTGTTCTTTCTGTGACAGAGGGGTGTTCTGCTGATAATGACTCTGTTCTGTGTGTCTGTCACGTTGGAGATGGTTCATGTTAAACTTTTCAGAGATTATCAGTCTGCAGGTCACATGCACAAAACGTATATATGAATGGACATATGTTCTAGCCTCTTAGCATTTTGGCGGTGAATTACTTGGCAGTGCATAGATCTACATCAGTGTATCAGTGTTTTCAGGCGTCCACACAGCGCCGGATCAGATCTGTACTCAGATGAATTCGTGGGATCGTTCCATCTCTGGAGCCGTTTTCAATTGGATTAGTGTGGACGAACACTGCATCCACAACCAAAACAACTCGAATACGAACTAGTGTGGACAGGGCCTGAGAGTATATCAACTGATCACCGAACGCATCGCCGTTTCAAAGGACAAATCCCAGTGAATATACTACACATGCGCCCGTACAAGAGCGCAATGGTCTTTTCTTTTACCTGTGAGGACTACGTGACACACAGACAGACCTGGGTTTACCAGCGCAGACAGAGGCAGGAGGAGATATGTGTTGATCCAAATTGCTTTGTCAGACGAATGTATCAATATATCATGATCCAAGAGTTCTTTTTATCCACTTAGAAGTACTTATACTTTTACTCTTAGTCAGTGATCGGGACTCATTCACACCACACTCGCTCCACACTCTCCCCGCTCCAGTGTGAGAGACGAACTATTCAGAGAGCTCAAGCTTTCTTGAAGCTTTTAATGTGAATCAGAATGAGTCACGCTCGCACTCACATTAAAGCAGGACACGGTGACCCAGGGGTGAGACAGGACGTCCAGAGCAGTGTACCGGGCCTCAGCTTTCACCTGCAGCATCTGACCGATCAGCTCCTGCAAACCAAACAACACAAAACAACGGAAATCAAATGATGTGAAGTTGTTTTAAGTGTAGACTGTGTTTGCTCTATAGTTATAATCTATGACACCTGTGGATTATTATTTTTTTATTTATTTTACTTCTATGGGGTATTAACTGCCAACACATAACAGATTTAAATCACCATGCTCTGTTTTATTGTTTTGAAAATGCAATATTCGCTAAGAAACAACATTTATATTTTAGGGTGGTCTATCAATGCGTGGTTAAAAGAGTAAGTTTTAGATAACCTCGATAACCTCGATTAGTTTTAGCGTCCGAAAACATGAGGTTTAGCAGAAATTCGTGGAGAAGAATTAGGCAGAAATTTGGAGAAAAAGGAGATGTTTTAGAGGTTGCTCAAGCTGTCTAGTTTCCTGGAAATTGACTCATTTTGTGTTTTCAAGTAACTTTTTATGGACTTTAAGGACTTTCTAAGCAACTTGTGTGGACGTTCTAAGTAATTTTATGCAAGTTTCAGTTTGTGTTTGCAGAATAAATTTACAAATTATTCAAATACGTTTAATTTATTTGGTTCGTGATGTTATAGTATAGGGTAAAAGTGTCTTGAGCAATTCTAAATATTTATTAATTTGCATAAAATTTTTACCCAAATATTTTCGCCAGATATGGAACCCTGCCTTTGGTTCCACTTTTTTTTTTTAAATAAAAAATTGAACCACCCTAATATATTTATACGCTTCACTTTTTTGAACCTCCAACCCTTTGCTCCCTGTGTTAAGTCACTCCCCCGTCAGAGCACATTAATGAAACTACTGCACATCGCATCCGGTTTGTCAGGTTGTTGTGTGCAGTTTTGTATCATGTTTTTGTATATTGATGGAGAATTGTCGTGAGGGTGACCTAGAGGGTTTGAATAGGACCCTGAAGAGATCTCTACATTACTCAAACATGCACGGATGACATCTAAAAGCACTTCTAGGCAGGTTTTTGATGAGATTATAACATGGAAGAAATCATAAAAAGATCAATTCTGCATAATATCCTCCCTTTAAAAAGCCAGATTAAAAAAGAGTTTGCATTAACATCAGTAACCTTCATCTTCGTCTCTTCATCTCTTCGTCTCTCGTGCTCGTGTCTTTAGAAAAGCACGAGTTCAATTCACACCTCTGCTGTTCCACACAGCGCCCGGAGCGGACAGTTCGAGCCGTTAATTATCAGTTTGGCCGAGTCTGAGTGCAGCCTGTCCTAATACGCGACACTAATTTAGCGTTATGTCCTTCAGCCAACTGCCCATTAAAACTGTTACAACACTGCAATTCAGACTGTAATGTAATCTACTGAGGACACTGCAGAAAGCAACATCTAGCCAAGTTAAAATTACTTTATATATTAAAAAAACTTTGATTTGACAAGTAAAATGATCTACCAACAGAACAAGTGTGTTTTTCTTAATTCAAGCAACATTAAATTCTGTTATTTTAAGCGCAAAGTTGTGTTTTGCATTGGTTTATAGCAAGATGTATTTTCATATTTTAACTACAAAAAGTCTTACTCAAATCGTGATTAAACTTTCTTAATTCAAGTCATCTTAACTTGTACAGGGAGAGTGGGTCTGCTCCAGCTGTGAGATTGGGAAGCGATAGTGACAAAAAGTATTATATTCTTTTATTAAACCATTAACATTTATCAGTTTTTTTTGCACTAAAACAGAAATATAACAAACTGTTTCTTAATTTGTTTATTATGCTCATTTTAGGTTCAAGTTTTTCATATTGTAAAAAGGTTTTAATACGACAGTAATGTTGACAATATTTCACTTACTGTACATGTAGGGATAGACTTGTGGAATGTATTTTTTGCTTGTGTCGGTTCTACAGTTAAAATCTATGACACCAGTGGATGATTATGTTATAATTTGGACATTTTAAATCCCAATATTCATCTAAGGGCCACTCACACTATATCACATGATTGTGTAGGGTTCTATGGCCCACGCTCACACGCTCGCACATCCGAACCAGACCACAGCCTGATGACGTCATCACGTGGCGCTGTTTGTTTTTAGCGGAGAAAAAAAGTCCAGCGGCAGAAATATCTATTAAATCACCACCTATCATCCATCTGCACTCTCAGCACCGGCTCCTCCCAGGTCTGTGTGCTGAGCCCTCTTCTCTTCTCGCTCTACACTCACGACTGCAGTCCCACCCACCCAGAGAACATCACTGTCAAATTTGCTGATGATACGACGGTGGCGGGGCTGATAACAGAGGAGAATGAGGCGCCCTACAGAGACGAGGTCCTGAAACTCAGTGAGTGGCGTGGAACTAACAACTTGGCACTGAACATCACCAAGACTAAGGAACTCATCCTGGATTTTTGGTGGAACAGAGCCCCCCCCCCCTGCCCCTCTGTACATCAACGGCCAAAGTGTGGAGCGAGTGGAGACCTTGAAATTCCTTGAGATTCACATCTCTGTGGATCTCTCCTGGTCAGTCAACACCTCAGCACTGGTCAAAAAGGCCCAGCAGCGGCTACACTTCAGGTCAATTCCAGCTAAGACCAACAGACTCAGGGACAGCTTCTTCTCCAAAGCTGTCACCATACTTAATGAGAACTGTTCATTCGTTTTATTTATTATTAATTCTTGCACTTTGATGGAGCAGCTCTGAATTTCTTTATACTGTGTAATGACAATAAAGACTTTCTATTCTATTCTAAATAGTGAGGCTGATGTGCGTCCTTTTACGATATGTGCTCCTCCATGAGTTTATAGATATAAAAACTTTTAAACTTTTTCAGAGTAAAAAAACAACCAACATTTTCTAGTCTAAAGTTCCATAGTGTGGCTTTAAGAGACTAACCTTGGCTGAGTCAGTGATGTTGTCCCAGTACGGGCTCGGGAAGTCCAGTCGGCCCTGAAGGATCTGCTCGAACAGCTCCTCCTGCTGGTTACTCTCACTACAAACAGAGAAGCATCCAAGAGTGAAACATGATCTATGATAATAAAACATGACACAAGAGCCGAGGTGTCACCTTCTGAACGGGGGAAATCCACACAGGAGAATGTACGTGATGACCCCCGCCGCCCACACGTCCACCTTCAGACCATAACTGTCACAGAGAAGACAAACGACGGGGAAATTATGTGTTTAAAGGTCATATATTACGCAAAACTGACTCTTGTGAGCTTTTAGAATGTTGTTACTCTTCAAAACCGGACATGGAGTTGTGTTTTGTTTGAGTAGCCCTTTATTATTAGTCGGTCTACATCTCCAAATCGCAAAATACTTCCACTTTGTGATGTCATGTCATAGTTTTCAAGTTAAGTTGTCTACCTTTTACCTTTAGTTCATTAGAGATTTGCAATTCCAAGGCTGAAATTATTCAAATGATTCTGGTGACAATGTATGGAGTTTAAAAACATAGTGGAGCACTGCATTACGACATGACGTCACAAGGTTTAACAGGATATTTTACTTTTTAGAGAAGAAGTCAGTCTAAATATGCAGAGTTTGTGTGTTAAACGAGTGTGAACGATAAAAAACACAACTCCAGGTACAGTGCGTTTGTGATGAGGAAACATATTTCATTTATCAAACATGAATTTAACAGGCCAAGACAAAAGCGATGTATTAAAATTAGGGGTGTCAAATTATCGCGTTAATTGCGATTAATTAATTACAGTCATATTTAGCGCGTTATGTTTTTTAATCGTGTTAATCTCATTTTTAGTCTCTAACTTTACTGTTTCTGTATGTGAGTTGCTTTATTATAAAACCTGTTTTTATGTGTTGTTGGGACAACAACACACACACAAAAACCACATTTATACATTTTTTTTATTTTGGTAATTCCACTCATACACACAAAATGTAAGAGCGATGTAAACGTCATGTTCACGTTGGCGGCGTCAGTCGCACAATGGACGAGGTCGAAGAGCCAGTAGAACAGAGTCAGCAGTGCACAGGTAAAAACACATTCGTGTCTTGGAAATTATTCTCCCAACGTGAAATATAAAAGAAAATAACAAATATAATATCGCCTGAAAACAACCTGCATAGACTCATGATGTCTGCACTACTGTCCTATAGTGACCTGCCACATGAGGGGACACGCACACAAACACACACAAACACAAACACACAAACACACACACACACACAAACACACACAAACACAACACACAAACACACACACACACAAACACACACAAACACACACACTTCATCATCGTCATTAACCTGAGAACGCGCGGACCACGTTTCCTTCCGTAGACACTGCGCGGACACCGACGTGCTCCCGTGAGCCACGTGTGGATCGTGTTTTCTCGCGTACACTGCGTAAACCGCGCTTCCTCCTGTGAGTCTCTAAACCAGAACTAAAACCAGAACTAAAACCAGGTCTAAACCAGGACTAATCCAGTCCAGGACTAAACCAGGACTAAACCAGGACTAAACCAGAACTAAAACCAGAACTAAAACCAGAACTAAAACCAGGTCTAAACCAGGACTAAACCAGGACTAAACCAGAACTAACACCAGGACTAAAACCAGGATTAATCCATTCCAGGACTAAACTAGGACTAAAGTAGGACTAAACCAGGTCTAAATCAGGACTAAAACCAGTGATCTCATATATAAAGCATTTCTCTATCAATAATATTTTTAATATGGTTAAGGAAAGACTGGACTTTTTATTGTCTTTAAGTAAACAAAAGTTATTATGTTCAGATTTCCTCGTCTTTGCTACTTTACAGCAAACATTCTTATTCATGGAGACTTGGGCTCAACAGACAAATTGGAGAGATTTGTTAAACAATAAATGACTTTATAAAGTCACTTTTTAAAATCTATATCAGTCTTTTGATCTGCCACAATAATGTAATAATGAATTTAAATGAAAATACCTCAAATTGAAGGCTTTTCTCAGCAATTTTTAGGTGAGATTAAAATTAGATTAATTAATTACAGATCATAATTAATTAATCTCTCAATTTTTTTAATCGCATGACAGCACTAATTAAAATGCTTCTTTCTTTTTTTTTTACCCAGACTCTGAGATGATTTCAGGGGCCACATATGTTGGAGTTCCACAGACGGTGTACAGGGGCCCCTCCACCACCGTGGCCAGACCGAAGTCCCCCAACTTCAGAGATTTGGTCCCATCTGGATACTCAAACACCTGAAAGACAGTACATTAAACATTAAACGTAATTTTTTTTTTTTCATGTATTGAGTCTTTGGTCAATGTATAACAGATAAATTTATGTAGAACTTTACAATCAAATCAAACAAAAAGTCAGCGACCGGGTGTAAGCAGGAGCTAAAGCTTATTGCCCTTTTTCACAACGGTCGGAAGGTTTGAAGAACTTCCGATTAATGGTTTTCTGTGGCTAAATATCTGTAGGAATGTGTGTTGTATTCTCCAAATCATCACCAAATCTTCAACCAACAAGGTCCACAAAGGATAAACATTCTAACATGAAGAATTTATCCACAACTATCAAAGGAAGAAAGATGAAAACTTAAAGGCGAACAACGAGCATTAGAGAACTACTACTAAGCAAAATTAGTGTTATGGTCCTAGAGATGTTTCGCATTCGATCTGCACAAATCGATCTATGCCAATATCGACATCATGAAATAGATTTTTAATTTTAATTGTAGAATCAGTCTGAGTTCACAAGTTACTTATAACTTCTTGGGTTCTTTTTAAAGACAATGCAGTAAAGTGTGTTTACCTTGTTGACATGTTTCGGCTGCATCTTCAGATCTGTCCCCGGTGTTGGTGCTGATGTGTCGTATATCAGCTGTTTTTACTTCATGTAGGCCTGGTCAGACCTGATGGACCTGCAGGTCGCTCAGACTGATCAAGCCACCCATCACGGTTAATGCTGTCTGTGCCTCGTTTCATGATTTTCCTGATCCAGCGTTTGAACTTGTTGTTTTCCGATCCAAAGACCCGAGCCCCGTCCCGATCCAGAATGTGGTTATTTCTTTTACAGTGTCTGATATGTTGGATTTTAGGTTTTCCTTTTCTGCTTTGTCTTTTTTGTGTTCTGATGAGTCTCCCTGATGTTTCCTTTTTCGCATTCCTTTTGGTTGACCCGCCAGGTCTATATCATCAGGTCTGACCACGCCTACAGGAAGTAACAACAGCTGATATACGACACGTCAGCACCAACATCGGGACAGTTCTGAAGATGCAGCAGCAGCTGTATTGTCTTTAAAAATAACCCAAGAAGTTAAAGTACTTAAGAAGACAAAATGAACATCTTTGGCTTAATAAGTTACTTCTGTTTCACTCAGTAGTTCACTAATGCGTCGTCGTCGTCGTTCTCCTTTAAGTTTTCGTCTTTCTTCCCTTGATAGTTGTGGATAAATTCTTCATGTTAGAATGTTTATCCTTTGTGGACCTTGTTGGTTGAAGATTTGATGGGGCAGATTTATGAAGCTGCTGGAGACATTTCCACACACATTTTGCCACAGAAAACCATGAACCGGAAGTTCCGCAAACCTACAGCGGGGCACTTCTGGTCGTTGAGAAAAAAAGGTCTATTGTGCCGACCCTTATCTCCAGTTACAGCAGGTTAAAGGATATTCTTCTACAAAATTAATACATCATGTTACTGGACATTTTGCTACATTATAATGAGGGAAATTCATTAAACTATCCTCACTGTTAAATATTTTTCCACTGCTATTAACATTTTTTATTGTAAAACAGAAGTAGCTCACTCCCCCTCAAAAAAAAAAAAAAAATCTATGGACTCTCTTCTGGGTTCTGGTGTAGAACAAAACTCAGATAATTCTCAAAGGTCTTTAAAGGAAATGTAAATAAGCAGTCTGTACCAGCAGGTTTTCAGGTTTGATGTCTCTGTGGACGATGCAGACGCTGTGCAGGTACTTCAGAGCTGATGCCAGGTTGTAAACCATCACACTGGCGTCTCTCTCCGTGTACTTCGCCGACGACGTGATGGCGTCGAACAGATCACCGCCCTGTACACACATTTATAACAGAGTAAGTCTTAATCCAACCCAGAAGGGAGGCTAGATGTGGTAGCAGATGATAGTAGTAGCAGTAGTCATAGTAGTGTAGCAGTAGTACGTGCAGAAGTAGTAGTATTATTTCTGTGCAGTAGTACTTGTGGTAGTAGTAGTAGTAACAGAAGTAATAGTAGTAGCAGTAGTAGGTGCAGAAGTAGTAGTAATAGTAGTAGTAGTAGGCCTTTAGTCCTTTAGTCTTAGCTGACTACTTTGTGTTATATAAGTAATTATTTGATTAAAAATGCTTGCATGTCTCCTGCAGAAAGAGTCTCTGTTCTGTCTGGAGTCATGTCAGTGTCTTGTAAAATTTCAGCAGACTTCAGCCCGTCTCGGGGGCGGGGATAGGTGTATTGATCAGGTATGCGTGGATGTCCGACTACTGAAATTTCAGACATTTCCTCTCATTATTTACGCACTCACCTAATTTAAAGGATACGGGTCATTAACACATATCCCACTCACTAATGTTAGTTAAGCATCATAACTTAATTTATCACATAGTGATAAACTGTTTTAGTGCTGACGACAGCGTTGGCTTATGCTGCAAATTCATGTTAACCACACACACATTGGTGCTTTCTGCACTCAGGCTGCGCGCGCCTCCACTGTGTGGATAAACAAATAATCTGTCTATATAAATAAATTGTTTGGGCAGGACATGTCTTTAGTCGACCTAGAATTTCTTTAGTTGACTAGTTTACTCAGTAGCAGTAGTAGTTGATGTAGTAATAGCGGCAGTTGTAGCAGTAGGTGTAACAGTAGTAGTAGCTGCAGTAGTAATACTAGTTGCAGTAGTAGCAGTGGCAGTAGCAGTAACATTAGTAGTATACAGTACCTTGACCAGCTCCATGACCAGGTAGAGCTCAGTGGGCGTGTCCAGCTCTTCGATCAGCATGATGATGTTCGGGTGTTTGACTTTACGCAGCACGGCCACTTCGTTCTCTATCAAATGTTCCTGTAAACACACACACAGGTCTGTTACTAATCTGTACAAATACTTAAAATATTTTCTTTCACTGTATTCACTGAAAGCAGCATATTCACATGTTTTATAAATTTCAGTTTAGTTTTTGATGCTCTGACTCCTCCCTCTTTGCTCTCAGAATCTTACAGCTAACTTTTATTACGAATGATGTTAAAATCTCGTTTCGTCTCATTTTCGTGGACCCAAACTTGTTTCTTGTTTTGTTTTGTAGAAACTCTGTCTCGTCCCACGCCTATTTACTGTTGAATAAAACATGAGCGCTGATGGTTCAATGACAATAGAAGAGTGCAGGCTTTAATAATGCACAAAGGGAAATGATCATGTCTGGAGTCAAGTCTGGATGAGTCATGTTTTTAAATTGTCTACTGAAGAAATAAGAAAAAGTTTGGCATTTATAAACAGCATTTCACTAGGGAAGACATTAACTTATCTGTACAAGTATTTGTTCAAAACAGCTCTATGGCTCAAAATGAATTATAAGGCACTTTTTTCAAAACGTCCACGAACCAGGATGTGCGCTGTTAACATGCTAATAATTGTTAATAACACTAAAAGATGTGAAAAGTGCTATAATTAGGATGCTTGAAATGAATGAGGAATGTCAGGTATAACTTTGGACGACTGCGAACTGTTTAAAAGGAACTAGCTCTGTTTTTTTTACTGAATTTCATGTTTTTGATGATCTGTAATCGCTATTTTTTTTGAGACTATATGTATGTATATATATTTATGAATGTAAGAAATGTTTGTTTATTAAATTCTTAGGTAACCACCGTATTTTTCGGACTATAAGTCGCACCACCCAAAAAATACGTAATGAAGAAGAAAAAAACATATTTACCGTATTTTCTGGGCTATTAGTCGCGCTCTTAAGCCTCCAACCCCATAAAAAAAAACGACTATGCGCCGCGCAATCCAGAGCGCCCTGTACGCGAATCCACTCGAGTGTCCCAGTACGACTTCAGTAAACTACAAAGCCGCACCACCCGCAGAACACGCAAACACACACGGAGCAGACAGCGACTGCACAGAGAAACACACCCACAGACACACTCATCACTCCACGCCGACGAGGAACGGAACGGAGGAACGAACCGAAAAAGCGAGTGCAACGTGCCGCTTCTAGACACGACTGAACAACTGAGTCACTGCAAACACGCCGACAATCCAGCGATCCCAGACACACCCTCCCTACACGCCACAACTGAACAAAGCCCAGAGTCACCGTGAACGAACAAACAAACAAAACCCATCACACTGTTGTGTTACGTTTAAGTTCCAGTGCGGTTTATTTGAGAAAAAAGTTTGAAAATGACAGTGCACCTTATAATCCAGCACGCCTTGTAGCCTGGAAAATACGGTAAGTCACACTGAACTATAAGCTGCACTTTTTTGGGGAAATTAATTTTATAAAATCAGAGACCAGGAACCGACATTTCTAGTAAAAACAATAGAGAGAGAGAACAACAGACTGTTAACGTCACATATGAACAGTTCTTCAGATAAACTATAACATAAACAACAGAACAGAACAAGTTTAACAAACTCTCCATCTCACTCCAAATCACTAAATCCATTCAATTCTTCATCCTCGGTGTCACTTCTGAGCAACTCCATGACCTCCGGAGGTAAACAGAGCGACGCTTCCTCTTCTGTGTCGCTGTCGTCAGACTCAGCATCAGTTCCAGTTAGAATTATTCAGGTCTTTCTGAATCCCGACAGGATGGTTTCGGTGTCACTGAAGTCCAGACTTTGTCCATCCATCCAGTGACTTCAGGAAAGTTTCATGGTGCATCCTCCCGGTTTCCGCCAGTCCCTCATCAGTTTCTCGCTCACTCCAAACTTTCTTTCTGCTGCTTGTTTACCGTTTTTGGCAGAATATTTCACTACTTGCAGCAGGACAGAGGTTCTTTCTGCAGGAGACATGCGCAGTAGAGCCAAGTGACAGTGGTACAGGAGGAACAGGAGCAGCAGATACTCACACACAAGTCGCACCGGAGTATAAGTCACAGGAAACACTCAATCCGTGAAAAAAAATGCAATTTACATAGTCCAAAAAATACGGTATGGGTCTGGTCAAGCGGTAACGGAGGGAAACAGGGGCAGATTTTTTACATTCAAATGTCTCTTATTCAGAAACTAGAGGGACTATTGAAATAAGTAAAGTATCAGAATGTAGGAAAGAGTTACACTCCAACAGGGTCAAGTTAAACCTGTGATATTCTTTCAAGTTGTTGACAAAAAATTTTTAAAAACTCATGTCGGTAACGGAGGGAATGAAATATGCTGCACTTTTTGGGCAATAAATCCAAACAGTGATAACTCTTGGTTCTCACTTACATATCCTTAACAAACTGGTTTGAATATTTGCTTCATATAGTTTTCTACCATATGGTACAAGATTAGGTTGAAAAACCTCTTACTTTTTGACTCATGAGATTTTTTATTAAGAAAGGTCATGGTAACGGAGGGAAAAGTAACGGAGGGAAAATTGTGCAAACAAGTAGAAGGTGCAGGATTTTACATAATTTGTCGCTTTTTTCTTCCAAATACTTTAATATTACTTTAAAATGAAAGGAAACTATTTCTATAAAATATGTCAGTCCTTCCAAGCAAATTTTTATCATTTTAAATACATATATTATATTTAAAATCATGTACCTTCATCAACAGTTCAAAGATGGAATAACACAAGATATGATGAAATACATCCATTTATTTACATGATTTGCAGATCTTTTGAAATTTGGGAAATAATTTTTGTTCCATGTTTTCATACATGGTCTGTTTAAAAATGTATGGAATCTTTAGAACCAAAAATGGTACAGAAAAAAGGTCAACAGTTTCATAAACTAGAGTACATATGTATCTGTTCAATACATTTTTATATCAGATGCATTAACTTGAATTTTTGGCCTTGTGTTTACTTCTGCTTGACCGGGCCCGTATGTTCAAACCTGGCTTAAATCTCTCTCTAAAGAGTAAATTTTGTGTAACACAGGACCTTCAAAACTAACACTGCACCTACACTTCACTTGTATCAGCATCTGTTCAGTGTAATGGTCTTACCTTTCCCGCACACTTGGTCTTGTCGATGATCTTGAGGGCGAACTCTTTCCCCGTGGCCCTGCGCACACACACACACAGACTAATTAAAGCTCTCCATAAAAACCCCACTGACTCCACAGTCCTAATATACGGCGCACCGCTGAGACGCCGTTACGCACAGAACAAAAGATAACACAATAAAACACGATAAAACAGAAGGAGCGCAGTGCTGACGGCTCCAAACCACTTTCCCTTTCCAGAAATAAAAGCGGCGCGTCTCAAAGCCACTCAGGACGTTTTCATTACTGGGGCCAATATTGAGGCATTTTGACGGTATCTTGTACAGCACAGCAGCGTGGGGGTGTTCTACATGTATGTGTATGGTGGGATGTTTAGGAGTTACCATGGTGACGCAATGTACACATTAATAAACACTGGCAGAAAAAGTTTTAAAGGTGTACTATGTAACTTTTTTGTTGAGGGTCCATCACCTGCTTGTTTCTATTGGACAGCTGGAATGTTACAACAGATTACATGTACTGAAGTTACGTAATCAGAGTACAAATTATGAGTAACTGTATTCGGTTACAGTTACTGTTTCAGTGAGTGATAATTGGATTACAGTTACTTTGTTGAAATAAATGGATTACACAGAGGTATTTTCCTGTTTTCACATTTTGGGCTAAATCCCTTTTTTTTTTTCAGTAATTCCACTCATTGCCGGACACTAAACCAGGACTAAACCAGAACTAAACCAGAACTAAACCAGGACTAAATCAGGACTAAACCAGGACTAAACCGGACTAAACCGGGACTAAACCGGGACTAAACCGGGACTAAACCAGGACTAAACCAGGACTAAAACCAGGACTAAAACCGGACTAAATCCAGGACTAATACATGACTAAACCAGGACTAAATCAGGACTAAAATCAGGACTAAAATCAGGACTAAAATCAGGACTAAAATCAGGACTAAAACCAGGACTAATACAGGACTAAAACCAGGACTAAACCAGAACTAAACCAGGACTAAACCAGGACTAAACCAGGACTAAACCGGGACTAAACCAGGACTAAACCAGGACTAAACCGGGACTAAACCGGGACTAAACCAGGACTAAACCAGAACTAAACCAGAACTAAACCAGAACTAAACCAGGACTAAACCGGGACTAAACCAGGGCTAAAACCAGGACTAAAACCGGACTAAATCCAGGACTAATACATGACTAAAACAGGACTAAACCAGGACTAAAATCAGGACTAAAACAGGACTAAAACCGGGACTAAACTAGAATTTAACAAGATTTAACAGGACTAAATCCTGCTGCATGGACCGTGTTTCCTCGTCTTCTATCAATAATATTTTTAATTTGGTTCAGTAAAGTCTGGGTCTTTTTATTTTCTTTTTATCAGACAAAACTTCTTTTGTGAAGATTTCCTCGTCTTTGCTTCTCTACAGCAAATCAAGTAATCCAAAGTATTCAGATTACGTTACTCAGTTTAAGTAATTTAATGGATTACGTTACAAACTATTTTTTGATGTGTGTAATCTGTAATCTGTAGGGGAATACATTTTAAAAGTCACCTTCCCAACACTGATTACAGGTGGTTTTATAGCTGAAAAATACCTAGAAAAACAACATTCTGACTGTGAGCGGGGTCGCCTCTCCACAGATCTGACCTGTAACTTGGTCTGGTTTGGTCTCCATGGAGATAGAAAGTTTTAATGCCGTACTGTGAATCATTTCTGCCAAAGCAACAACATTTCCATGGAGAAAAGCTTTTGACAGTCCATTAACTAAAAAAAATTACACAATGTACCTTTAATAAAGTCTGAAAAGTGAAGAAAAAATACAAAATGTAAGTAACACATTTGAGTGAGACATTTTCAGGAACATGTGATCAGTTCGAGCGTTCATGGTACTGTTTAGGACTTTAATTTTCAACAAAAAAGTGAGATTGACTAACTAAAAAACTGTTGGGTAATGCTAATGCTAATGCTAATGCTACAGCTAGTTTGTGGCTGTAATTTTACGTAGCGTCACACCACCAGGAAATGTTGACGACATCAGTTGTAAAGTATCAGTAGAAATGGATTAAATCATTAACTCTTCAGGTCAAAATGAATTATGAGACTGTTAGCATGCTAGTTGTTGTTGTTACCAAAAGTTGTGAAAAGAGGGGTAGACTTTTTCAAGGACAAAATATAGTTTTTCCTAGACTTTTGGCCCTTTTTCTAAATTTCTAATCATTTTCCAAGTTTTCCAGGTTGTGTGGGAACTAGGGATGGGCATTCGATGAAATTTTCTTAATCGATCGTCGGAAGAATTAACGATCGATTATCGATTAATCATTAACGTTTTTATATTAAAATGATCATCATTATTATTACTATCTGCACTACTAATCTGCATAAATAAATTCAACTTTACGACATATAAACCGTAACGACTCTAGAGCCACATCAGCCCGTTTGACATTATAATGTGTTTAATTCAGTTTTGTGCAAATCTCACAGAAACGAAACTTAAAACCACATCACTAATTTGCATAAACTAAGCGAAGATAAAACTCCAGCTCTTGTGTCGCTGATGCGGTTCAGTTTCTGTTGGATTAAAAGACATGACTCAGGTGAATACAGGTTAGTGTGACCGTATTTGTGTTTGTCAAAACCAGGACATCGTACGGGGGGAGGGGGGCGGGGCCTCGTCATCCACATTGAGCGACTCTCACCTGGTAAAACTTTTTCCCACTGGACACAGAAACATATGTGCTGCTTTATACACTGTGCACATGGACTCACACTTGTCCCGAACGCAACGGAAAGTGTGGAATTTCTTGTACAAATCATCGTTAAATACACATTTGCGTTGCAGACTGACCGACTGTTTGTGTCTCGCTCCTTCTGATGCAGAGACACATGTACACACCTGTTTGGTCACGCTACACACAGCAACCTACATTCGGTTTGTCGATTAAAATGAACGTAATCGATGAAATTCTTAATGATCAATTATCGATTAATCGATTAATCATGCCCATCCCTAGTGGGAACCCTGCAGTTCCATATCATATTGTGCTTTGTTTTACTTCATTCAACTTAAAAGGTGCATTATGTAACTTTTCTGGGGTCCGTCACCTTCTTGTCTCTATGGATATATGTCAGTGTTTTTTTCCGTAATGTTCCACAGTATGACTTTAAACAGCTCCAACTTATGTTTATTTAATTACAGGTGGTTTTAAAGCTCAAAAATACGTAGAAAAACAGGAATTCTGACTGAACGGGGTTGCCTCTCCACAGATCTGACCTGTAACTTGGTCTGGTTTGGTCTCTTAGAAGATAGAAATGTTTAATGTACGGAAGCCTGGAGGGTTCAAAACAAACGCAAACAGCGCAACAAATATAAACACAACACAACAAAAAGCCACAATACACTAAAAAAATCCACAATGGAAGTGACCGCGGGACTCTTTATTTTCCGACGGACCAAGCGACGGACATTGATCCTCGCCACAAAACAATAAAATACTTTTACTTATGTTTCAAAGTTCGTTCACTTCTCCGTTCCTTTACTTTTCACATTCTTGTTCTTCTTCAACTTTTCCCAATCACTTCCCACTTGATACTTTAACGGTTCGCTCGGTCACTTCCGTTGCAGCTTTTTTTGGTGTCATTTTTTTGGTTTGTTGCGGCTTTTTGTTGTGTTGTCGCGTTTGCATTTGTTGCGGCGCTTGCGTTTGTTATGAGCCATCCCGGCTTCCGTATTTAATGCCATACTGTGAAACATTCCAGACAAAGCAATAACACGTCCACGGAGAAAAACATTTGACGTCAACCTCCACCAAAAAAAGTTAAACAATGCGCCTTTATCGAAAACTTTTACAACAGTGTGAAAAACGACACGCCTGACGATTAAACTGTTTTATTTTGTTTGTGTAGCATTTCGTACCGACTCATATTTGCATTTTGATTGCGTGGAAGGTAATTAGTGAACTCTGCTGCTGCTACAATATTCTATGGACCATTATGGCTCTTTTATCAGTTTGCCATTATCCCCGCGGTGTGCTTATATTACATTATGGCAGTGTAATTAAACCGTTTACAGCCGGAGAAAAGAGCCGCCGATCTGGAACGACTGTGGAGTTATCAGAGGAAACAGCCGCTCGTCTCTATAAACCCGCCGTAATGGGCCTACCTCTCCACACACTCTTTGACCACGGCGAAGTTCCCGTCTCCGATCACTTTTCCGACCTTGTACTTTTCCGAGATGGACGAGGTCGGCGGGTAACGGTTTCCATTAACTGTAACACACACATACAAAAAGTTATTTCTGTTTGCAAGCAACAACATAACAGACTTTTGACATTGTGAAATTTCTTTTGTGGTTGCCTGCTCTTGTGACTGACGGGCTGGCACACTGAGCAGTTTCTCAACTTTAAAAAAAACTTTAAAATTTCTAACTTGACATTTTGGGATTTTGACCATCTAAAGGTCGCCACACTCTACAGAATTTTTTGGTCTTAAATGATTTTTAAACATTCGACAGAAAGTCCACACCACTGACACGAGGAGAATCTTATGAGACTTAAAATCTCCGATCACAAAGACTGCGGCAGGATCTGTCTGCGGACCACAGGATATAAAGTTGTGAGCGCGATCACGTCAGCTGTCTACTAGGGATGGGCATTCGATGAAATTTTCTTAATCGATCGTCAGAAGAATTAACGATCGATTATCGATTAATCATTAAGGTTTTTATATTAAAATGATCATCATTATTATTACTATCTGCACTAATCTGCATAAATAAATTCAACTTTACGACATATAAACCGTAACGACTCTAGAGCCACATCAGCCCGTTTGACATTATAATGTGTTTAATTCAGTTTTGTTCAACTCTCACAGAAACAAAACTTAAAACCACATCGACAATTTGCATAAACTAAGCGAAGATAAAATTACAGCTCTTGTGTCGCTGATGTGGTTCAACTTCTGTTGGATTAAAAGACATGACTCAGGTGAATACAGGTTAGTGTGACCAGATTTGTGTTTGTCAAAACCAGGACAGCGTACGGGGGGAGGGGGGCGGGGCCTCGTCATCGACATTGAGCGACTCTCACCTGGTAAAACTTTTTCCCACTGGACACAGAAACATATGTGCTGCTTTATACACTGTGCACATGGACTCACACTTGTCCCAACGCAACGGAAAGTGTGGAATTTCTTGTACAAATCATCGTTAAATCCACATTTGTGCTTCGGTTCGTTGCAGACTGACCCACTGTTTGTGTCTCGCTCCTTCTGATGCAGAGACACATGTACACACCTGTTTGGTCACGATACACACAACAACCTACATTCGGTTTGTCGATTAAAATGAACGTAATCGATGAAATTCTTAATGATCAATTATCGATTAATCGACTAATCATGCCCATCCTTACTGTCTACAGTAAAACCACTCACTCTCAGACTCTTAAGTGTTCAAAAGATCAGAGCTCTGCACTTCTGTGTTATTATTATTTGTGAAATGTGGTGCAAAACTTCAGATACATGATTTTTAATGCACAGAAGGCTGGAGACAAAGTGCACAGGAAGTAGAGTCAGTATCACTAATCTGCAGCTTCACCTCAATCTGTGCGCCGTGTGGATGTAAACAAACACACGTGAGGAACTACTCCGGCCTTTTTACTTCAAAGAACACCTCAAACTGGATTCACAGTTCTGTTATGTGGACTCGATGTCATTATTTGTGTAGGACAATTTCTATGGATAATGTGGATGAGATGTTGCAGTTTAAATTTACAACTTTACGAGAGGTGAGTTATAATTATTTATGCTATTTCCCGAGTTTGTGTGTTGTGTCTCTGTGTCCGTCACTTCTCTGCCCCTGACGCTCTGTTTTATTGGTTTTTATCATAGAGTTGCTGAAGTTTAGTGGTTACGATCTGACACTGACACACACACACGAGGAGCACAGTGGCTTCAAAATCGCACACAAAGACATAAAGTCAGGTCATGCCACCCCAAAGTCAGGGAGAGGCAAATCGCGGCCAAAATCGGGCAAATTCTTCTGTAGTGTGTGGCGGCCTTAAGAAGTACAGTTTACAGAAGTACAGGCAGTCAAAGGTTTCCTTTTTGGTCCTTCCTGTGGATCAATCCTGCCCATCACCTTCACCTTTCACTATTTTTCAATTCCGTTGGGAAGAGAAACAGTTTGAACGGAGGTTTGCAGTCGCACACATCTGATTCACTTTTGCATTTATGGAGTTCACAAACAAATTTCTCAAGCCTTTTTCCGCTGTTAGGATCCAACAACCACACAATTAACGATGTCCGAATCCCAAAACTAAAATATGACAATATCAGAACCAGAAACAAAAGCGATATGGTTCAAAAGACTTGAAAAGGATCGACTTTGTCAATAGACACATCCCACTGGGAAAACAAACATGACGGTTTGATGTTCACTTTTTCGAAAAATCCTGTATCAAGTATGCATTGCGCAATGACCGGAAGTCCAAGATTCTTGATGCGTCTATTATAGCAGAACGACATTCCAACACTTGGAGGGAATACATATATTTCAAGAGGAGGCCAATTTAAGTCTAACCTAAATCAATTCTAAAGTCACTGGATCAAAACAAAAGTGAAAATGTTTTTAGGGGTAAAACTACCTTCTGGACTGAGTCGGCTGCTCTGCTCCTGGTGGTTGTTCACTGTTCCGTTTGTGTGAGACGAGACGTGGTTTGAATTAGGAATCTGAGAAGAAATACACGTCAGTTTGATTTATAACAGTATTTATACACTACCAGTCAAAAGTCTGGATACACCCTCTCATTCAGTGTTTTTTTTTTCCTTTATTTTCTACTTTCTACATTTTATATACATATGTTAGTCATCAAAACACTGAGACCGACCTTAAACCCTGGCGTGGTCCTGGGGCTGGTGGGAGATGGAGTAGAAGACTTATTGGATCTGGAAGAACACGACTGGCTGCTCGAGAAACCGTTTACTAAGAAGGAAAAACACAAAAATTTCATAACATGAGATTTATTTTAACGCCATAACGACCAAACCTTTTTTTCTATTCTATTCATTTTCCATTTTATTGATGTTTACCTGGAGACTTGCTGTTCGGTCGGCTGCTGGCAAAGTGCACCGGTCGCCTCGCTGTTAAAAGATTAAAAAGTACAATGAGACAATACACTTGTTTTGGGACAAATAAGTCGATCCATCTATTAATACACAAACTGTAAACAATGCTGAACAAAACATAAGCATAATGTTATTCACTCATGGTGCATTAAGAGAATTGAAAATGACAAAAGCCAAGTACAAATGCAAAGGTTTGTGACTTTTAATTCTATGCCCATTATCCAACACTGACAATTTACTTAAAGAGAGGCTATTTTACTTCTATGGGGTATTATCTGCTAATACATAATATATTAAAGTCACCATGTTACCTTTTATTATTTTGAAAATGCTATAGTCGTCCAAAACATTGTATTAACATGGTTTATAAGTTTCACTTTCATTTTTGACGCCCTATCTTTGCTCCTTGTGTTAAGTCATTCCCCTTTCAGAGTGTAATTTTATTTTATTTTATTTTTTATTTAAAACAAGGACACTGCAGAGAAAACATTAAACTCAGAGAGAAAAATGGCTCTGTGCCAGATTTAGCTGCAAGCTGTTTTCCATCTGCAGTCCCTGGGCAGGTACAAAATATATTAAAGAAACTATTTACATTAGACCAACTCTAACAACATTTCATCAGTAACAGTGTTTCCTTAAAATAACCACAATCACTGAACACTTAAAACAATTTGAATTAATTCATTCTAATTTCCGTAGCCTCCACATGTGTGAACATATATGTCCAACACATTGGGTTGTTCAGGCACTGCATAGTTTTTGCAAATCGTTATTCACTTGTGACTTTATTGTGTTCCATCAAAATGATTAAACCCTAAAATGAATGTTTTATATTTCATATGTGGACATAAAAATATTATAAAAATATAATTCTTTGTTTCTGCACTCATCAGGTGGCCAGGCTGGCATCACCTAGTGCCTCCGCTCAATTTCATTTCTCTCCAACGACTAGGTCAGGAATCAAAATACAATTGACGATTCCCAAAAACCCCAGAAGTGCAAGTTCGGGCATCAGTCAATCAGTGAAGAGACAAACATTCTGCGTTCGCAACAGTTCCCGAGATTGAGGATTTAAAGCCAGAACAAAGAGAATGTTTGGTGAGTTTCATCGGGGGAAAGACGTTATCGTCCTTCTTACTACGGGATTTGGGAAAAGCTTAATATACCAGTTATCCCCGTTAACGGCGCCTTACATACGTCACGACCAAATAGCAGAGATTGGTTAAATGATAAACAGTACCCGCCTACTGTCGAGCGAACGAATCCTAACACTGCAAGGTCAGACGGTTTCTACGAAGTGAAACAAAGTGAGACCGGCTGCTCAGTCAAGCTACTCATCAGGTTCCAATCAGCCCAAATAACAAAGAGAAATCAATAAAGCCATGGAAGAGCTCGAGTCCTTGGAGAATAAATACAAGATTTCAAATTCCTCATTATCTTCTAAAAATTTCATTGCCATCAATATCCTCTAAAATGTACTTTTACCACCAAAATTTGCTACCATATTCACCAGTATCATGTTTTTGTATATTTATGTAGAATTGTCGTGTGGGAGCATGGACGACGTAGGCCTGTAGGCGGAGCTTTATACAGAATCTTACATCTAACCGTAAGAAAGGCTCGAAGGGGATAGTTGTCAGTTAATACCCCACAGAAGTAAAACACCCCTCTTTAACCCTTTCCCCCATGAAGACGACATTTGACGACCCCCCCCCCGTATCCTTAATGACGTCTTTTGACACCCCCGCTGTATCACTAAAGACGAGATTCGACGACCATTAGGCTACGTTCAGACTGCAGGGCTTAACGCTCAATTCAGATTTTTTTGTGAAATCCGATGTTTTTGTGAGGTCGTTCACATTTCCAATTAAATGTGACTTGTATGTGATCTCCTGTGTGAACGTTAAACGGCCCGAAAGTGTCCCACATGTGACACTGGAGACACGACGACGTCAACCGCAGCGAGCGTCTCTGTGTTTGTTGTTTGTGAAGTTGTCCAAACATGGACGCAGCATCGAGCACCTGGAGATTTTAAAGTTCCTCTCGTACCGGAGCCAGAACATGAACAACTTACTTGTTTTAAGGAGGAGATTGAGAAGGAGAAGGACGAGGTTTTTGGTCGTGGTGTTTTGTGGGGCAGCGGCAGCGACGTCCATTGAAAGGAACATGTGGATGTGGAGACGGAGCCAAGAGTGGTGAGTGGTGATGTGCTTCACTTCAGTGACATGGAGTTCATTAACAATTTTCGCCTACTTCAGCGCAGAATAGTGACGTTTGTGTCTTGTTGATAACGTGTAGGTGGATGAATGCACTTTGGCCGTTCACACTGAAGTCACATGTCAAAAGATCAGATATGTATCGGTTTCAGGAGCACATATCCAAGTGTCCTGGGTCACATTTGAAAAAATTCGGATCTGTGTCGTTCAGACTGTCATTAAAAGATCAGATACAGGAACATAGAAGCCAAAAAATCGGATTTGGGTCACTTCAGGCTGCAGTCTGAACACAGCCTTAGAAACGGCTCAGTTTTTCACATGTAAACAAAGGCTGCGATAGGCAGGGGCCACTACAACCAATACTAGACTGACCAATAGGATTCAAGGATATGTTTTCGCCGATTTTTTTCTGAATTTAAGTAGTAACGATTGTAGCTTTCGAAAAAACACAACACGAAACACGTGCAATGGAAAGACTGCGGCGCACAGTTTTAGAAATAATGAGGAGCGGACGTATTTTATGGATAAGTTTAGAGAAAGTGACTTTTATAGATTTCAGATGATGATGAGGTTGATTATAAAGTGGAAAACAGCGATAGCAACAGAATTTCAGAGAGTGAAATTTACAAAAAGTGTGAATGCCGGTGATGTATCTGTATGGAGTCCTGCGATAGTTCAACAAACTCTCGCAGATTTTATACTCGATTATGAACCAAAATTGTCCCGAAATCTGGATGTTGCTCAGGCTAGTCCTTTTTTTTTTTTCAAGATAAGATGTATGACAGAACTGCTACAAAACTGCTGTAAAATCATTTATAATCACTCGTGGAAGCCCTGGTAATATATGTATGGGTTGTTCCTAGTCGGCGTCCAAGGGGGAAAGTGTTAATAAAACCGTGTATTGTGTTGTACCAGACGAGGGGGACTTGCTTCTCCGTGTGGGCCCCGGGCTCTTGGTGCGGTTTGGAGTCGCGGAGCGGCTGTGTGAAGACGACTTGAGCACTCTGCACTCTGAGGAAACACACACGAGAAGAAGAAATCAACACGTTAGACAAGAGTCTGAACTGAATCAAGAACTCTACTTTTTAACAACCCAACAAAAATGTGTAAGAATGATTATTGTTATTCTGTTATTGTTATGTGATTTATTGTTATTCTGCCTCTTTACATGATATGTCATAGGACTAAAGCAGGTCTAAGGCAGGTCTAAAGCAGGACTAAACCAGAACTTAACCAGGACTGAGTGTCGGGAGTGTTTGGTTGTTTGTATGGATACGTCATTGCTCTGCCTGGAATGTTCCACAGTGTGACTTTAAACAGCTCTACAGTACTTTATATTTATTCCATTCTAGGCAGTTTAAAAAAATCAAAAATAGCTAGAAAAACAGACGTTCTGACTGTGAGCGGCGTCGCCTCTCCGCAGATCTGACCCGTAACTTGGTCTGGTTTGGTCTCCATGACGACAGAAAGGTTTATTATCACACTGTGAAACATTTCAGGCAAAGCAATAACACCTACATGACGATAAACTTTTTACAGGTCCTCCGAAAGAAAAGTTACATAATGCACCTTTAATGTAATATAAATATATATAAAAATAAATAAATATATAATAAAACATTTTGGATGATAAATTAAATGTTATGTCCAGTTAAGTTACTCTTACTTGAGCAATTTCTTTTACTTCTACTTGAGTAATTTTATTCTGAAGTAATGTTGAGTGTAACTTTTAGCTATTCTACCACGTCTGTTTACAGGCCTGTATTTTGGTGATTTTGCTTCGTCTGCTTTGTCTTTTGTGTCGCCTCAGCAGAACAGTGTGCCTCTTCTCAAAGTGGAGCACAAAAGAGTAACTAGGACATAAGTCTGGATCTGTCAAACCTCATCCGTCTCCCACATGTCCGCTACAGTTAGCACATTTAGCACCGTTAGCCTACTTAGCACCATTAGCACCGTTAGCGTAGTGTTTTTTTTTTTGTTTTTATTTCAAATATACAATGTTATACACAATGGTATAAACAAAAACATTGCTGGAGGCTTAAGAGTTCATATGCTCACAGGGGCTCAGCCTTATCATCAGAAGAACCTCTAGTCAGAAAATCCATGTTCAGGGAGTGTTTTCAGTAGACCACAGATCTTGTAGGGTATTTTCCAAATTTTCACCTCAAATTTCATAAAGACATTAATTTTATACGAACTTCCAATTTTGCAAACAAATTGAAAATAAGAGGCCTTGACATTTTTAGCTCAGCTCAAAGTATATGTACTATTTAGGCGTGTCATAAAAATGCTCCTGTTCTGGGTATCTCGCCTGGTTGTATTGAAAAGAACCAACTGTAAGGCATTTTTAGCTCAGCTTGTGAGCTGTAAGTTCAAGCTGAGTTTATGCGATCACCCTTTGTCCGGCGTCCATCCGTCCGTCTGTCTGTTAACCATGGCTGGACAAATCTAGACTGTTTGACTTACAGAGTCCATATAATTGTCTTTAGATACCTTAGGGCACAGGGGTCTGGCCCTCGGCAGATTTTCTCCTAAAATATTTTAATTCTATTTTTTATTAAAATATTGTTAATTTTCTGCAGTGCTTATCATAGCAGCGTCTCCAGCGTCTCTGTACGTGGCCCCTCCCACCAGAGCAGCACAAATGAACTTGTCTCTTTCCAAACGCTCTTAAAGGACGATCGTTTTGACTGTTGACCGTGACACCCTCATCAGAAAAATGTCAAAAATGAGAAAAGTGGAGCTGAGTGCAGGATTTTCCAAGAAAATTTGACTTATTCCTATTTACATACAAGTTGATGTTAAACAAGTTCATGTTAAAACATTGTGTTGAAATTGTATTTTTCTTAAAGTTTCAGGTTGTTCATAATATTTTGTAAAAGAAAGATTTCATCAATTAAAAAAGATTTCTGTAATAGATTTCCATTTCTCTGCACAAATATTTGAACTTATTGTTATTTTTGGGGTTTATTTGCCATGAGTTTTCTGATCCGGCCCCTTTGGAATCAAAGTCGGTTGGATACGGCCCCCGGACCAAAATGAGTTTTACACCCCTGCCTTAGGGTAATAGCTCTTTTCAATTCTTGCATTATGTCACAGTGACCTACTTTGTGACTAGTGGGCCTTCTCACTACAGGGCCTTCTGACTAGTGGGCTTTCTGACTAGTGGGCTTTCTGACTAGTGGGCTTTCTGACTAGTGGGCTTTCTGACGATAAGGGTGTAACCTGCTCACAGGGCTCAATCAGCGCAATTAATAACACACATATGCATCACAGTGTAAATATATAGATATACATGTACAAATGTAGGAAAGCAAATAAATACATTCATATTTCAAATTCCGTACAAAGTGCTTTTGTCTTCAAGGCTTTGGCATTCGTGCAATAATTTAGAGAATTTATATAAGAGGACAAGAGGGACTGAAACGCGACAAATTTGGGTTTCTGACTAGAAAATTTACAGCAATGAATATGAAACTTTGATAGGATTAGGATTAAGTTCAACACATATATTTTTTGGCAGGAATATCTTTTTCAAAGACGCCAAAGAGAACATGTTTTATATTAAAATTTTAGGTTTGTATCAAGCTTTGTATTCACTAACAAAAATATGTCATTCCAAAAGATTTGAGTGTATGAGCGTTCCTAAAACATATGGGTGACCATTTCTTCAACGCTGTGACAGAATGAGCAAAGATGATCTATGTTTGAGTGAAATTTTGAGATAACAGCGTTAACAGGGTACCGTTAGCATAGTTAGCACCGTTAGCATCGTTAGCACCGTTAGCACCGTTAGCATCGTTAGCACCGTTAGCATCGTTAGCATCGTTAGCACTGTTTTGTCACCTTCTATTGAATGTTGGTAGCTGATAAATCCAAGTCAGTTCTCCCGACATCAGTTGTAAAAGCATTCCATAGTAAAAGTTGGGGAAAATATTGGCACTTGAGAAAGTTTAATGTTTAATTTGTTCGCTTATGAATACGAAATAAAAAAACAACACATGTCACTTCAGCCATTTTGGTAGGCAAAAAGCGTCCATATCAACAAGTCAATATCAACGTCGTCAACAGTTATCGGCGAGTTTTAACATTTCAAAGTAACGTTTTTGATCCTCAACTTTCAGTGACTTAGAGTAAGATAATGAAGTCATGTCAAAACAATTAAATGCGAAACCCACTTCAAAATAAGACGAGTGACATGACAAGACAGACATACACAATGGAAATGTCAACACAAACGAGCGGCCCGACTGAGTTTTTGCCGACCAGCCACTGCGCACGTGTGGAAAAGCCGAATGTAAACAAAAACGTTTTCTCGTTTATCATATAAGATACAGTCTGTAGAACGACATTTGGGGCAGGCTACATATAACTCATTAGGGTTCATTCTTGGGAAGGTGACTTTTAAAATGTAATCCCCTACAGATTACAGATTACATACCCCAAAATGTAGTGTGTAACGTAATCCATTAAATTACTTAAAGTGAGTAATGTAATCTGAATACTTTGGATTACTTGATTTGCTGTAGAGAAGCAAAGACGAGGACATCTTCAAATGAGATGTTTTGTCTGATAAAAGAAAATAAAAAGTCCAGACTTTACTTAACCAAATGAAAAATATTATTGATAGAAGACGAGGAGACACGTCCACACAGCAGGATTTAGTCCTGTTAAATCCTGGTTTCGACCTGGTTTTAGTCCAGGTTTGGACCTGGTTTAGACCTGGTTTTAGTCCTGGTTTAGACCTGGTTTTAGTCTTGGTTTTAGTCCTGGTTTGGACCTGGTTTTAGTCCTGGTTTAGACCAGGTTTAGACCAGGTTTAGACCTGGTTTTTGTCCTGGTTTAGACCTGGTTTAAGACCTTGTTTAGTGTCCGGCAATGAGTGGAATTACTAAACAAACAAAAAAACAAACAAAAAAAAGGGAATAGCCCAAAATGTGAAAACATGAAAATACCGCTGTGTAATCCATTTATTTCAACAAAGTAACTGTAATCCAATTACCACAATTACCACTCATTAAAACAGTAACTGTAACTGAATACAGTTACTCATAATTTGTACTCTGATTATGTAACTCCGGTACATGTAATCTGTTACTCCCCAACACTGCCAGGGCTACGTTCAAATCTCAAAGAAGTCAACCCTCAGACTGAGCCCTGAGGGAGTTAACGTCAGGTATCACAACTCCTGCTAATAAATAGAGTCTGTTTGCCAACATTAGCTGTCGGCGACTCAATTACAGCAGTTTGACTTTTACATGTTTAGAAAAAAACTTGTGTCTACTGTTAAATGAGGTGAAATAATGTCTAAAGCTACGTTCAGACTGCAGGGCTTAATTTTTTTGCGAGGTCGTTCACATTTCCAATTAAATGCAACTTGTATGTAATCTCCAGTGTGAACTTTAAACGCCCCAAAAGTGTCCCACATGCGACGTCACACACAGCGAGCGTGTTCAGTGTTTACGGAAGTCGCCTAAACGCTGGGCCTGACTCACAGGTTACAGGACCAAGGCCGCTTCATTTGTTTGAGTCTTTATCCTCCTTGTATTTGACTCGAAGGTTCTTTAGTTTTTTGTTGACATTGGAGCCAGGATGCCTGTAGCCGCGCTCGGACATTTCTTTGGCAACCATTTCAAAATCCGCCTAGTTCTGATAAGACCCCTCCAATTTGTCCTGAATACAGCGATTCCCCCAAATATGGATAAACTCGCTAACCTCACGTTCCTTCCATTGACGAGACTCCGAGCCTGACGTGTAGGTGGGATGAATGTGACCTGACCGTTCAGACTGAAGTCGCACGTCAAAAGATCAGATATGTACCGGTTTTAAGAGCACATATCCAAGTGTTTTGAGTCGCATTTGAAAAAAACAGATCTGTGTCATTCAGACTGTTAATAAAAGATCAGATACAGGAGCACAGGGGCGAAAAAATCGGATTTGGGTCACTTCAGGCTGCGGTCTGAACGTAGCCTAGATGTCACTACAAAGTTTTTAGAAGACACTTTCTCTACACAAACACAACTTAACAAATCAAAATGAGGAAAAGAGTTCTCCCTGTTTACTGTGTGCGCCGACATTTTTGCTGTGACGTAAATCCAACCGACTCAGTCTGCACCGAACTAGCCCGAGTTTGTGTTTCAGAACCCTGATTTGTTTGTTCGTTCCATTGCACTTTCTCGAGGTGAAGGTCAGTTTTCATGTCTCGAACACAAGAGAATGTTAGCACAGTTTTTAGGATGAGCCGCAGAGTTGAGACCAAACCCCTGATTTTATTTGTTTACATTTCTTGCAGTTAATTTCTTGAATCTTCTTTTGTTACGTGAAGGTGTTTTGTTTCATGTATTGCATTAACTGTATGTTCACTCCTTGTCTTGTTGAAAAAAAAAAAAAAAAGTGTTGCGAGCAAACCTGCAAAAACAACTGGGATTTCAACAGGATGTCAATACTTATGATAAAAATAAACTTCCTTCCTGCAAAGATTTCCAGCTCTGGATCAACACTTGAGGAACTCGTATTTGAAAACGCCTAAATTTGACAGAGTTAAACAACAAAACTCATATTGTAGACACATTTTATAGAAAATACCGAAAGAAACAAAATGAGAACATGACAACAGAAAATACGGAAAAACACTAATGATCTGAGGTAGCGCTACCAGCATTGCTTACTGTTGTTGTGTTCTTTATCCCAATTTTTATATCAGAGATTTATTATTATATTATTAAATGTTTATATTATTATATTATTGAATTTAGTAGCAGCTATTTATTATTATTATTTTTTTTTGTTTTCATTATAGTAAAAATTTTTTGGAAATGGTTTTCAGATGATGGCATAACATTCTACTGGCCAGTTTTTTATATTAATTATGGGCAAAACACTGGCTTATGTTAAAGTTATTTTCTCTGGTGTGGGGTCCTGTACCTGATTGTCTCCATGAAGATGTTATTGCTTTGCTTGGAATATTCCACAGCATGGCATTAAACGTATCTAGCTGAAGAGGGTACAGTTAGAAAGCATGTTTTTCAAGTTTTATTACACAAAATTTACCTCATCAAAAAAATACATGGAGTTGTGTTTATTTTTAGTTTGTCTGCATCTTCAAAGCTCAAAATGCTCTGTTCCACCTTGTGATGTCATGAAACTGTAGTCTTCAAGTTAACAGCTCCTTTTACGTTTTGTTTATTGGAGATTGGCAATTCCAGGGCTGAAAACAACTAAATGATTCCAGTGAAGGTGAGTTTAAAACCACAAAGAAGCACTTCCTGTATGACCCAGGGTTCTCACGGTCATGGAAATCCTGGAAAAAAATCATGGAATTTTAGTATCTCTTTCATGCAATTACAGAGTTCTGTTAAGTTTTCATTAGAATATTAAGATTATTTCTGAAAGTCTGCACCTTTTGTTTAAAAGAGACGACAATAAATGCACTGACAGGATTTTGAATGTTAAAAAACTATAAAACCAAACCATAAGGTGAGTGGAAAAGATTAACATTTCATATTTAGTTCTGAAAGTTTGATCAGTTTTAAGCATGTAGGTGCCGTATAACAGATGTGGGGACTTGCAAGTCGTGACTTGGATCACTATTTTTAGGATTTGAGACTTGACTTGATAAAATGGACTAAGACTTGGGACTTGACTTGGACTTGAGGGCTATGACTTGAGAAGACTTGAGAAGCACTTTTAAATCAGAATTTTTTTCTATTTTGACTATAATGATTCACACTAAGATCTTGTTCAAGACATTTAAAACGAAAAATTTACTAAATTAAATTTTACAACTCTTATATAATCTATACATTTTCAAATACAAATATACTATGATTTTTTAAAGTACAAATTTAAAAATTCATATAAATTGCAAAAATCTTTGATACTTTGGTTTTAAGACTTGAAATGACTTGAAGCTCAAAGCAGACGACTTGGACTTAACTTGGACTTGCCTGTATTTGATTGGGACTTGACTCAGACTTGAGGTCAAAGACTTGAGACTTACTTGAGACTTGCAAAACAAAGACTTGGTCCCACCTTTGCCGTAAAGTCATGGAAAATTCACTTTAGGTCATCAAAAAGTCACGAAACAGTTTTGAAATTTTATCAGTGAAAAAGAGCGGGAACCTTGATTAGCACATGACATCACAAGGTGGAACAGACCGTTTTGAGAAGAAGCGAGCCTCAATATGCAAGGTTTGTGTGTTAATATAAACTGTGTGACTCCAGGTGTGTTTGTGATGAGGACACAACATTATAACATAGATAATAGTGAAATAATAGTGAGAAAATAGTGTAATATGGGCTCTTGAATGCCATACTGTGGACTATTCCCAGGCAAAAGTTACGTAATGCACCTTTAATGATGTAATAAAACATTTCTCCACACAGACAAACACAAAGACAAACACATGAGGTAAGACACATGTTGCTCAGATACAGTGTGTGTGTGTGTGTGTGTGGTTAGAGATGGAGATTGTCGTACCGGTCACAAAGCCTCTGCCGGTCTTACCACTCTGGTCCAACACAAAGTCGTCCTGGGCGTAACGGAACTTCTCTGGACCACACGCTATGAAGACATCGTCCTCTCCGAAGAAATCCTGGAGGCACGTGATCTGAAGACAAGACAGGAGAGGACATTTAACTACTGAAGAATCAACATAACAGTTAAAGGTTGTATAGAGGATTTTTTTTAAGGGAAGAGAACTACAGCGACAGTTCTTTTTCAAATGTTCCTCCTCCACAGCTCCCTCAGTAGAAACATCTCCTCCCGCCTCCTTACTCTAGAAATCACACGTTTACAGCCAGTGGGCGTTCGGAATTACAGTCGAAGTGACCGGTCTAGAAACAAATTCAGCGACCGTCGTCTACTTGAGTCGCACCATCGCTGGAAGGGGTCTCCAAGAATCGCCTCAGTTTGTCTTTGCTCCTTTTCCTCTTCTCTTCTTCTTTCAGCGATCTCGAAAACTGACTTTCTTTTCGCGGCGAACTGGTCCTGGATTCTCGTCCGCCGTCGCAACAAACTTTGTGCGAATTGCGATGAAGCTACAGTTTGAAAAAGTCTCTAAGAACCGCCGCATAAACCACGTAATCCCAGCGCGCCGCCGAGTCAGTTACACGAGAAATGTAGGGAATTTGATTGACGACCTAACAGCCAATAGAAAATGAGGTAGCCTTGTTTTCTATTGGTTGATGTTTATCTGGCCTCACTACATCCACATTTGATAGATTTTCATTCTTTTTTTTTTTGGTCATATAATTACAAGGCTGCTGCATCTCTGTAATGTTATTTTAACCAATCATTGACAATCTGAAACAAAACAAAAATCCTCCATACAACCTTTAAAATATTATTGTGGCTATTTCGGGGCAAATATAGCATTTTTAGCTGGGAATTAGTGTTAGATCCTATATTTGTTTTCCTGTTATGTTACGTGGGAGTGATTTGTGGTGGTCAGAAACACAAAGTCTAACCCAAGGCATAATGTGGCTACGTCAGCTTATTTTAGGTAATAGCTTGGGTTATATATAAATCCAATCATTTTTTTCACATGCAACGTGGCAAACTTAAAGGTTGTATAGAGGATTTTCCAAGGAACGAGAAATCCAGCGACTGTTTGTCCTTTTTCAAATGTTGCGCATGTGTGAAACCACCCCCCCTCCCCTACAGCTCCTACGTAGAAACGCCTCCTCCCGCCTCCTCCTTACGCCAGAAACAGGTTTGTTTACAGCCGGTGCTGCACATGACTTGTAAACAACTAACTACAGTGTTGGTTAGGCAAGACGGAGAAGTGAGGAGCGGGGGAGGGGGGGGGGGGTGCGCGGACATTTCGTTCGCGGACGAGAAGTGAGGAGCAGGGAGAAAGAGCGGAGCAGGGAAGAGAGGAGAGGAGAGAGGAGAGAGGAGAGGGGGAGAGAGAGGAGAGAGAGAGAGAGAGAGAGGGAGAGGAGAGAGGAGAGGAGAGGGGAGCGGGTGCGCGGAGATTCCGTGCCCGGAGAAGTGAGGAGCAGGGGGAAGAGTGGATCGGGCAGCGGGGAGAGGAGCAGGAAAGGGGTGCAGAGAAGAGTGCGCGGAGATTCCGTGCGAATGAACTAACTACAACACGCAGCAGCAAGTGGACTCTTTCTTTGCCTTGAAAATTACGTTTTCAGACATAGGATATCGCTTTCGTGTCCTGAAAAACGTTTGTCCAGCTCTTGGAAATAAAGTACGTTTTCATAATAAGCAGAAGTTTCCTGTCCAGGAGTAATTTGTGGACCAGTGGTTCAGTCTTTAGACTCTTCGTCTGCTTCAGTTGCGCCATCGCTGGAATGAATCTACAAGAATCACCTTAGTTTGGCTTCGCTGCTTTTTCCCCTTGTCTTCTTCTTTCAGCGACCTCAAAAACGGACTTTCTTTTGCGGCGAACTGCTCCTGGATTCTTGTCGCCATTGCAACAAACTTTGTGCGAACTGCGAGGAAGATATAGGTCAAAAAAAGCCGCTAAGAACTGTTGCGTTGGTGGAGTAAACAGCGTCTGTGCGTCTTGCGTCTGTGGACTGCGTGACAGTCGTACGTAAACCACGTACCGGCGGCGCAGGCAAGTCAGTTACACTAGAAACGTAGGGAGTTTGATTGACAGCCTGTCAGCTCACAGATAACGAGGCAGTGTCGTTATCTATTGGCAAATGTTTAGCCCCACCACGTCCAGAGTTGATGAATTTTTATTCTCTTTTTTTTGGTCATCATAATTACAAGGCTACTGCACCTCTATAATCTATCATTGACAACTTGAAACAAAAAAAAATCCTCCATACAACCTTTAACAAAATAAATTTCTTACAAAGTTGAACCTGAAGTATTTATAGTATGTCTGAAGAAGGTATCCACCCGAATCCTTAAACGGCATCAAACGGCACCAACATAATACTGCGTTCAGACCGTAGCCTCAAACTTGAACTGTGGAAGCTCGTACTCTCCACGTGAGCGCTCGAAATTTTGTACATGCGTGAAGTTGGCCCCCCATCAAACACAAACCTACACAAAAACTATGTCAATTGTTTGTGTCGTTTTGTGCTGCAAAAAGTTTTGTTTGTGCTGCTTTAGTTCTGGAGATGTTAACGATTCTTTTATAGCATGTTTCCCCTTGATTCAGCAAACATTCTCTTTGTTCCGGCTTTAAATCCTCGATCTCGGGAATCGTTGCCAACACAGAATGTCTGTCTTCATCTACATCCATCTTGACGCTTTGTTTACTGTTGTGCTTTTCACTGATTGGTCGTTGGACGGACTACAACTTCCGAGGTTCTTGTATTCAGATTCCTGACCTAGTCGCTGTAGAGAAATTGAGTGGAGGCACTAGGTGGCGCCACATTGGCCAGTCATCCAGCCCTTCAAAATGTTAAATGACCTCAAAACAGGCAGAAAATTATGCGAAACATTTGCACTTCGTTTGTGCTGTGTTTTCATTTTATGCAAGTATATTTCTAAAATGATTAATTATTTTTGCGGAGATTATATGACGTTATTTCTGCTCAGCTGACGGACGCGGCTTTAGCAAAACTCCGCAAAACTAGTGAAGAGAAACGACCTCAGGAGGTGGAAAAGTCTGTATCAGTCTTTAGTAACTTGCTTTTCATTCATATAATAACACAAACTTTTCCACAGCCTGAGTTTGTTTATCTTCACTAGTTTTGCAGAGTTTCCCACTGTCAGCTGAACAGAAACAACGTCATATAATTTACGCAAAAATAATAATCAATAATTTTAGAAATATATTTGCAAAACTGAAAAATGTCACAGCACAAATGAAATACAATCGTTTCGTATAATTTTCTGCCTGTTTTGAGGTTCTTGAACATTTTGAGGAGCTGGACGACGTCATCGACCGAAAATAAAACTGATAATATCTTAAGATCCATAAACACAAAAATGAAACATTTTTGCAGCACAAAACGGCACAAACGAATGACAGGATTTTGATTTTGGTTTCCTGGAGGGCTGGCTGACCCCTATATGACTTACGAAAGAATTGTTAATATCTCAAAAACTAAAACAGCACAAACAAAGCACAAACGATTGACAAAGTGTTTTGTGCAGGTGTGCGTTTGATGGGGGAGGTAAACAATGATCCAGCTTAGACGCACGTCCCCATAGACCTGACATGTCACCCCCAATGCCCCAGTGTCACGGTCTGAACACAGCAGAAGACCTCAAAAAAACCAAAACAAAGGCCACTTGTTTTTACATATTTTATTTGACACAATAAAGGTGCCCCAGAGCAGAGCAGCTTTGGAAGTGCAGCCCATTTATCACAGTTGAGCTGATTTTGTAGATTTAGAAACTTTAGGACAATGGATAATGAACACGCAGTATTTTCTGTGCTCTGGGAAATATAAAAATGAGAAAATAATGTGAGGCTTTCGTGGCTGTGCTCACGTGACTGAAGACTGAAGAGTGCAGAGTCATGGGAGCACAGTTCTGCTGCAGGAGGGACATTTGTTTTGCATTTTCACTGGAGTCTCTGCAGCTCTGCTCCTCTCACACCCACGTGCACCTGAGGAGACGAGCTCTGCAGTCTGCCCCGGTGTGTGTTTGTGTGTGTGTGTGTGTGTGTGTGTGTGTGTGTGTGTGTGTGTGTGGGAGGACAAGCCTAAGGGGAGAGGAGAGGAAAAGGCTTATCAGGCTTATCCCACCTCCTGCGACTATGAGGTATTACCTACAGCACTGATACTCTGCAGCTGATGTCATCCACGTTCCCTGGTGTGATGCTAACTGTAGGCACTGCGCTGTTTTTAAACATGATCAGACTTAAGACTTCATGATGTGGCAAACTTTAAAACAGCTCATATTATGTTCAGAGTAGGGATGGGCATGATTAGTCGATTAATCGATAATTGATCATTAAGAATTTCATCGATTACGTTCATTTTAATCGACAAACTGAATGTAGGTTGTTGTGTGTGTTGTGACCAAACAGGTGTGTACATGTGTCTCTGCATCAGAAGGAGCGAGACACAAACAGTGGGTCAGTCTGTAACGAACCGAAGCACAAATGTGGATTTAACGATGATTTGTACAAGAAATTCCACACTTTCCGTTGCGTTCGGGACAAGTGTGAGTCCATGTGCACAGTGTATAAAGCAGCACATATGTTTCTGTGTCCAGTGGGAAAAAGTTTTACCAGGTGAGAGTCGCTCAATGTGGATGACGAGGCCCCGCCCCCCTCCCCCCGTACGCTGTCCTGGTTTTGACAAACACAAATCTGGTCACACTAACCTGTATTCACCTGAGTCATGTCTTTTAATCCGACAGAAATTGAACCACATCAGCGACACAAGAGCTGGAGTTTTATCTTCGCTTAGTTTATACAAATTAGTGATGCGGTTTTAAGTTTAGTTTCTGTGAGATTTGAACAAAACTGAATTAAACACATTATAATGTCAAACGGGCTGATGTGGCTCTAGAGTCGTTACGGTTTATTTGTCGTAAACTTGAATTTATTTATGCAGATTAGTAGTGCAAATAGTAATAATAATGATGATCATTTTAATATAAAAACATTAATGATTAATCGATAATTGATCATTAATTCTTCTGACGATCGATTAAGAAAATTTCATCAAATGCCCATCC